CACCACCTCTGTATCAGGGGCTGTATGGGGGATGGGTTTCCACCATGCCAGGGAAATGGCCTCCATGCCAGCTCTCCATACCTTGTCACAAAAAGTTACTTTGGAGCTATGGCCAGAGGAGGGGTCACAGGTACCTATTTACAGTGTTCCAGTACCCCAGGAAACCAGCACGAAAGGGTTGTGGTGCTATTCCTGCCCACAGACTGGAATAAAACCCATGGCAAAGGAGTGTGAGAGAGGCTGCTACTGCACCCTGGGACTGGGTTGTGGTAAGGGGATTTTGCCTCCCTGGACTTTCCCTGCATAGAGGAATGAATACTGCAGCTGTAGGCAGGTAGAGTGACTTTCACCCACCTATGGACCAAGTGGGTTTATTAACTCCAAATGGAACACTGAACAGCTCACATCCACAACAGAACAAAGTTAATTTTAAAGGGTAAGATGGACAACAGTAGGCTAAATGCCAAGGATTCCAGAGCTTGCGATTAGTGGAAAGCTTGGACAAAAAGAACTATTTTACTTAATGTTCTAATATGGCCAAGTTCAGGCTTAGACAGTTGTCTGGCAGAAGTGAATTTCCAAGGAAAATGCCTGCTATTCTCTCAAAGGTCACTCTTGGGAAAGGTGGCCAAAGCAGTGCAGCTCAATGCAGTGGTCATCACTGGGCAAAGGTGGTGAAACAGTTTCCTAAGTAAATGGGATGTAAGCTATTTAGGGCTCGTAGATAGTAAGCAGTACCTTGACTGCTTCCATTGTTGAGGACAAAGCCCAGGTGTGATGTCTTAGAGAAAGGCAGGCTAGCTAAAAAGGAGGCAGTCATTCACTACACTAGCTGAAATAAATTTGCTCTAATAAATTTGTTAGTCTCTAAGGTGCCACAAGTACTCCTGTTCTTTTTGCAGATACAGACAAACAGGCTGCTACTCTGAAACCTGAAATATTCAAGTGGCTGTCAAGGCTAGCCTCTGGGAGAGTGACCCATAGTAATGTTAGCATGCCTGTGACGGGGTCTACCTCCAAAAGGAATGGCTTCTTGGCCTGACAAATGACTGTTGCCATATGGGAAGCCAGGAGCAGCTACGAGGCTTCTAACCCATTTTGACAAAAGCTCTGCAGATGTCTTCCACTGACTTAATGATTATTGACTTTGTTAATTCCTCGAAGTGCTTCCCCCTGTCAATCAGCATCAACCTCTTTTTTCAACACTGAGCCTAAATCAACTGGCTTTCATCAATTTTCCTGTCTCTGCCAGAAACTGGAGAATGAGGAGATGTCTCCAGTAGGGCTGTGGAAAAGGAGATGTCGGATTTAGTGTTGTCTGCATGTTAATGACATTGTAGGGTAACAATCTTCCCAAAAAGTTAGACAAACTTTGAGCCCTATGAATCTTCACACCTGAAAGCCCTCTGGAGAGAAGAGCAATCACTCAGCACAGAATTTATCTGAAGAAAAAACAGGACCATGAGTCCCAAGGATAGGAGTTCCTTTCTGTTTAATTAACATTCCAATAGTTTGTTCTTTAATTAGATGCATTTATACATTCCTTAATAAATAATTCCCTTTTGAATCTCCACATACTATGAAGTTAATTGAAAGAATTAAATTTGTTCAAGTTCTGATAGTGTTGAATGAGAAACTTATCATCAGTATTTCATATCCATTGTAATAATATCATCCACGGTTAATTCATTTGGTATTCACATAGTTGTTGTAGATATTTCATTATTCTATTGTAATTACAATGTACTATTAGAAAAGGAAAAGTCAATATAACTGAGAGAAACTCTGAAAAGATGCCAGCTATACAAGTATCTTTTTTACACCATAATAAATTATGTTTTCAGGTAAAACAAATGACTATATATGATAATTGCAAAAAGCACACACTTTTGCATAGCACTGAAGTGCTAGGGACTTGAATAACAAATATTTAAGTCAAGGAATGCTCCCTCTTCCTGTTCCCACATTATATATGGTCTACTAAAATAATTATTTTATTTAATTAATTTGCCATCCTCTCCAAGTATTCTTGCTATTGGAGCCCTGCATGGCACCCATTGATCTTGTTTGTATGCAGTGTTGTTGTAGCCACGCTGGTCCCAGGATATTAGAGAAACTAGGTGGGTAAGGTCCTGAAGTCCTGAAGAAGAGCTCTACGTAGTTCAAAAGCTTGTCTCTCTCACCAACAGAAGTTGGTCCAATAAAAGATAGTACCTCACCCACCTTGCTTCTCTATTAATTTGGTTGGCATACATAAACCAGAACTGTGGGAGCTCCAGCCATAAGAAAATACACATTGATGGCATTTATGTTATGTTAGAGTTGCAGTTGGAAATCTAGATGTATTTAAACTAACAGATCATATCCTGCCTTTGATTTCAGTGAAAAACTCCCATTGACTTCAATAAGAGTATCACACATGGAATGATGGCAGGATATGGCCCTTAGATAATTTGATTGAATGAATGTGCTAGTGTCAATTAATTACAGCATACTGGGTATGACGAGAAGGCATTACGAGTGTTTCTAGAAGCCTGGAACTTCAGAGGATGATTCATGGCTAGTCCCCCCTTTTTTTTAAACGGGAACATAACAAAACCATTCTGGGACTTGATGTATACAGTGGAATGTAAATTAGAATAATTGTTGCAAATAAACAAATCAGTGAGACTAAGTGTTGACGCCCCCTAGAATGCCATGTGATCTGACCTTTTCAAAATCTGCATGTGGGTTATTCTGGCAATCAAAACAAGCAAGACTACATTTCCCACATACTGTTTTACAGATAATACAGAAATTATCGGTTTCAGAGTAACAGCCGTGTTAGTCTGTATTCGCAAAAAGAAAAGGAGTATTTGTGGCACCTTAGAGACTAACCAATTTATTTGAGCATGAGCTCATGCTCAAATAAATTGGTTAGTCTCTAAGGTGCCACAAGTACTCCTTTTCTTTTTACAGAAATTATCATTATTAAGATGGAAACAACAAAAATAATGAATTAGGGGGATATGCTGATTTTCAGTAATTTTATGCACCTGAATATATTAAGAATTTAAATGTATTCAGGTTAATTAGAGAGTAAAAAAATTGTTTTTAGGTTTTTGATTATAATTTGTTTTTCTGTTGATAGCAAGAAAAAATTCCTGTTTTCTCAATTTGCACAAATTATCTGACCTATGAGTCATACATTTTCATTTTCACTGTATGCAAAGTATTTTAAGCCACCATTTTATAAAATGATTGCTCCCTAGCAGGGCTTTTCCTTCTAAAATATCAAGAAGTGGAGAAGAAAATTATAAAATTAAGCTCTTGTTCATGCAATTAGATCTGCTTGGATCTGTGGGTTTGACTACAGGGTCAAGGCCTGACTCTGTCAAAGCCCCAGTGTTCAACTACGAACTTGATCCTGCTATTGTGAAGCAGTCAAAACTCTTACTGACTTCAGGCCAGTCTGCTCTCAGTTACATTGCAGTAAACCCAGAGCAATTTACACTGGTGTAACTGAGAGCAGAGTTTGATATGATGGTTTAACTTTAAGTCAATTGGACTCTTACCTGCATTAGGATTAAAGGATCAAATATTAAATATTTTATGAGACATTTTTTCTTGACATTTTAAAACAAGTCTCATCAGGCAAAATACTTCTGTATTTTTTATAACTGTCACTGTGCAGCCAATAGATACTTTGGGTTCTGCATGTTCCCAGCTCACAATTCTACTCACTGATCATTCAAAAATACAACCCTTACGGAGGAAGGGTAACCTATGGCCTAAGAATGAGTGAACTGGTTCAAATAAAAAGGTTTGGGAAACCTACCTTTCACCCAAAAAGTAAACAAACCCCCAAATGCACATTCTTTTTGGGTTCAGAAGTGTCTGGGAGTTTATTTTGTTTTTTGTTGTTTCTCTAAGCAAGTTCAGGTTTTGACTAGTCTGCGAGTCGAAGTACAAGAAAGACTTGGGTCCGGTTGAGCTCCTGTCAGCGCAACACCTGAGGTGGGGAAGTTACCTTTTTAGTCCTCTGATCATGGAGCATGCCAGAGGGTGGTTCAGCCCCCCAGACTTCCCTTAGTCAGCCTAAGCGATGCTCTAAGTTATAAAAAGAAAAGGAGGACTTGTGGCACCTTAGAGACTAACCAATTTATTTGAGCATAAGCTTTCGTGAGCTACAGCTCACTTCATCGGATGCATTCAGTGAAAAATAAGTTATGCATTCAGTGGAAAATAAGCTCTAAGTTATGTTGACACTAATGGCACCACTGACTGGCTGGGATTGCTGGAGCACAAGGTGTTCTACTATGGGAATAGGAGTGCTGCTTTATCCCCTGGAGGGGGATACACCTACAGGAGATGAATAAGCAGCTTTCCTATTAGGGCAGCCTTCCAGTTGTCTGAGCAGAACAGTGTAGTTGAGCATGGACCAACGATCTATCTCACTATTTGCATAGTATTTCTATTCCCACTGAAAACAGAAAAACTCAGAATCTTGTGAGAAAGTTTGTTCTGGTGAGATTTTTAACCAGATTTCAAGATCAAAAAGTAGAAATCTGAATAAACGTCAAACATCTAGGACTGATTCTCCATTTTCTTATACCATGCATAGTTACTTAATCCCCAGTTTGGCAAAACACTTAAGCACATGATTACTTTTAAGCACGTGAATAATCCTATCCCTTTCAGCGAAGCACACAAGCATGTTCTCAAGTCCCATGGACTTCAAAAATGCAGCTGCACTGAACTTTGAAGTTAAGCATGTGCTTAAATGTCTTGCTGAATCAGGGCTTTACATCTGTGTAAAGCAGGTGTAAAAATGCTGCCAAATTAGGATATAAGGGTAGCATTCACACTCATTTTTTCACAGATGCACATGCCCATTCAAGACACAAGCACTAGGATACTCAGGACCACTATAAGTTTATATCTTTTAATATGTGCATTCATGTAATACAAAATATTCTACAGTATTAGTTAAATAGTTCAAATGATCATTCTATACTTACTGTGCCCCACCAGAGAGCATCTGCATATGTAGAAAACTGAGTATTTGCATCTTTTTCCACCAGATAGACAAGGAAAGAGGAAAAGATGAGTACTAAAAATCCTATGTACCAGGCTGTGATTAATTCCTAGATAAAAGAAAATAAATATCAACCTGTATTAAAAAGATTAAACATAGAGTGGAGTGGCATTTGAAGAAAAAATAATTAAACAGTCCATATTCTTTTGGCATTTTAGCAGTTAAAAATCAAATGCTTCTCAGTTCACATAAATTGTCTCCAAACAATGGGTAGAAGTAGAAGTGATTGGGAATTTTTCAACGGAATGTTGGATTCATCAAAATGAATGGTGATTCATCAAAAAGGTTTCTCGGGCCCAGGATGGGGAAAGCGCTAACACAGAACAGCCAATAGACTTGTGATTAGGGCACTTATCTGGGATGTGGGAGCCCGAGGCTGAAGCTCCTGCTCAGTGTGATTTGGAGGAGAGACTTGAAGCTGGGTGTCCCACATCCCAGGTGAGGGCCCCAACCAGTGGGCTATGGTGTCATTCTTTCTCAGTCTTTCCTGTTGGAGCTGTTTCACTTAGTATAAATCATTTAATATTTGTTGTGCCAGAGGGATATTTTTCTTTCATTTACACTATCTCTTTCTGAAGAGCTCATGCCTGTGATTACATCAACAAACTGACTTCATGGTCATTAACTATACTACATGGACCTCAACATTGTAAACAAGTATAGAGCTCAGGAGCTTTGCCTAAATGAAGGGAGTATGCAATGAAATGGCTAATGTGTGTACCTACCCCTTCCCTCTGCTAGCTGGTCACATATTCTGACATTTTTTCAAATATGCTACTCACTATCTAGTGATTGGCACCCAGAGATGATTATATGCTTTAATGCTACTGCAGCTATTTGGAGATTCTCTTTTACCTTATGTGGTAGTGCCTTGTATTCTGGAGTCAAATATCCACTACGGGGCTATTCTCTCGCGGGGTGGATCTCTTTCTCTCTCCTCTCTCTCATGTTTTTTCGCCAAAGGTTTTGAAAGGCTTCATTTTCATTCCAGTGTGGAATCTCATATTTTTTCATGAAAAAGAATTCTTGTTCTCTGGCCAGCCTGAACAATGGGCCTGATTTCCCAGTTCAGTTTGACACGTGTGTAACTCCACTGATTTCAATGGAATTACACCAGCATCCAACTGGTGGTGAATCAGGGCCAATATTTTTAGCATATTTTCAAAAACCTGAATGAACATGAAAAGATGTATTTTTGATAATGCATTACATAGCCAACATTACTTTAGGAAGTTTTAGGTATTCACTGGAATCTTATAGATATATGAGGTGATGTTGATTCATAGAGTTTTGTTGAATCCGACTGAAGAATTAAATGAAATGAACGGCCATGACAGTTACCTTGCTATGTGCATAAACTACTGAACCTAATAATTTCCAAGTCCCTCCTCTTCGGTCCATGCGCACCATTCGAAGGATCTGTAGGAAACGAAGACTTCTCAGTGCTGATGTTGCAAAAATGTTACCCTGAGTTTTTGCAGAAACAACTGCTATTGAAGCGATGAGAACAATGGTGTCTGAAAGAAATACATTACAGAATATATTAATGTACATAAAGCAATCATGAACATAGACGTAATACGCTGAGTGAAGGGAGTTGTGCATAAAGAGGAGTCCTTACTCGTCTTCAATTCCCTGGGAATTTTGTCTGAGATAGGACTGTGGGATCGAGACTAGAGTCTAAAAAGTGCATAGAGACCCTTCAGGATGAAAATCATGAGCTACATTAGAAATGTTAAAAACATATACTGATAAGGCAGGCAGTACTGAAGGAACTAGTCGTCTTGTGGAAGGTATTTTCAAGCCCAATGTGTAGAACTGTATAAATCATCTCATGCTTTAAAACTGCACTACTGCTTTCCCCCATAGCAACATTCCTAGGAAAAGGCATTAAAAAAGCCAGTAACAGAAAACAAAACCCTCTCAGTTTCATGAGTCAAATGGAGGTACGTAGACTTATAAATATACATTTTATTTTCCTATGTGTGCGAATACTATGTGATGCAATTGTGCAGTAATGAGCTTCTGGATACAAGCTTCCCTTATATACATTTTCCTGGGGGAAAAACAGAAATAAACTTGGTTGCATAAATGACCTCCTAAGCATTCATTTAGCTGACAGTCTGGAAAGTTCCAGCACTCCGAGTGTTAATACTTTGCATGAGAGTTTGTTTCTTCACAACAAACATTTAAAATTTTTTGTTAAGTGTAGCGTGCTTGTTTATAACTCTTGGAGCCAGTGCCATGCTTAGGAGAGGATGAGGAGAAGAAACACTGTTCACGCAGAGACAGCTAGATGCATTATGGCCTGCAGTAGCTATGAGTAGTATGGAATAGAAAGGGGTAATTTTAAACTGTTGTATTCCAAGTAATTTTATTTAAAAAATTACTAAAAATATTTACCCCAGAAAAACAAGAAATGGGAGACTAGCTCTTACTAATTGCTTCTCTTGTCACCAAATCAGGGCTATGACTTCCACTGTTCTAGGCTATGTCTATACTATGAGCTAGGGATGTGATTCCCCTGTTTGCGTACACATATTCACACTAGCTCTCATTGAGCGAGTGCAGTTGCAGTGGTAGCAGCCGCGGAGGCACTTCAGAACCACCCCTCCCCGGAGTGACAGAAGTGACACCGACATACGTGACACTGCTTCTGCCGCTCACGGAGGTGGTTTTATTAGGCTGAAGGGAGAGCTATCTTCCGTCGGCACAGAGCGTCTTCACCAGACACACTGCAGCGGCTCAGCTCTATTGGTATCGCTGCAGCGCGGTATGTACAGACATGGCCTTAGGTAACTTCCTCTCACTAATTCATGTTGAAGTCTTACGGAGGTTTTCCTTGGGTTGGTTTCTTCCTGAGCCTTCTCTGGTTTTCTTAGCTCTCTGTGGTAGTTTGCCTGTAGAGATGGGCAGGATAAACTGATGAGTGCTGTGTGTTCGTTGAGCAGAGTAGCAGGGAGCATGTGTGTGAGGGGAGCTTACTTGAGAGTTTTTTATACTCTTCTCCTTCCTAGTTCCATGAAGTTACAAGAAAACACACCTCTTTCAGGCTTCTTTAAATTCAAGTTGATTGCTGTCCTTCTTTCACTGGCTCAGTATCATTGTGGGTTGTCTTTAGGTGCCTCTTCATCTTTAGAATATGCAGTTTGTTAATGCACATATGTGTTGGAGTTTTAATTCTTTCTTGATGATTGCATTTCCTGTGTCTTTGTAACAGAAGATTCTCAGAACATCTCTAAAGTTAGAGTTTTAACTCCTTCTTTTTATTCAATATATTTCTGAGATATTTCTTTAGTTTTACTAGACTTCAACAGGAAATGAAATTCTGTTTTCAAAAACACTAAACATTCTTGTTCTTTATAGAAAGTTTTTTAGTTCTCAAAACCATCTTTTTAAAATTAAGTCATTCTTAAGGAGAGTCTTCAGCCTAAATACAGGTTTCAGAGTAGCAGCCGTGTTAGTCTGTATTCGCAAAAAGAAAAGGAGTACTTGTGTTGGAGACTAACCAATTTATTTGAGCATAAGCTTTCGTGAGCTACAGCTCACTTCATCGGATTGAGCTGTAGCTCACGAAAGCTGATGCTCAAATAAATTGGTTAGTCTCTAAGGTGCCACAAGCACTCCTTTTCTTTCAGCTTAAATAGTTATTAAAGAAGGTGTTGATTCTACATGGCAATTTTTGGAAAGATGATTCTTGTCTTCCTGATTTGGATGAGGGAATTGCTTGAGCACTGCCAGTAAATAATGAATTCCCCAATAAATATAAATATCATATCCCTAAATGGCTTCTTACATTAGTAATAAGTTTAGCAAGCTCAGTAGATTCAGTGTTGGTACATAAAGCATTTTATCTTTTACATAGCAGTGACATTAGGAAATTATATTTGGAGCTTTGCATTAAGCTGACATATTTGCAAGTAAGCATTTCACAAAGGTATTTGCCATTTCAACGTTTAAGAAACAAAACGTTTAAAACATTTCCAGCTAACGTTTTCCTGGAGTTTCAAAGACACAAGCAGAGGTTATTTGGGGGGGTGGAGAAAGGGGAGGAAATGTGTGTGTGGGGAGGTGGTATAGCCCACCTTAACACCTGGATTTATTGCTCTGATAACACATTCCTACATTCCTTTTTGAGGTACCCCGCATAAGGAACATCCTCACATTTTTTTTTTTTTTTGCACACAGTCAGGTTTTTTCCAAAAACATGAATGTTTTACATGGCTTGTTTTCTTGAGATAAGGATTACATTTGTCCCACACTGGTATCTTATATAAAGGGAGGTGCGCTGGCCTAGATAAAAAGAAAAGGAGTACTTGTGGCACTTTAGAGACTAACAAATTTATCGGATGCATTCAGTGGACTGTCCACTGAATGCATCCAATGAAGTGAGCTGTAGCTCACGAAAGCTTATGCTCAAATAAATTGGTTAGTCTCTAAGGTGCCACAAGTACTCCTTTTCTTTTTGCGAATACAGACTAACACAGCTGCTACTCTGAAACCTGGCCTAGATAAGACACTCTTTTGGTTTGTTTGTCTATTGACCCACGCTCCTTAAAGTTACAATCTGTTTGTTATACCAATTAAACTTCTATTAGATATTTTGTACAAAATAAAAATTTCAAAAACCAACACATCTTTCAACACAGCACAAAAGAAAAAAGAGTAAAAATTAAAGTAAGGTAAAGTTTAAAATGCAGCTTTCTGGAGTTTGAATAACACTCTTTGGGGTAATCAACATGGTTTTATGGCTAAGAAGGGGTTATCTTCCTTACATTTGCTCGTCCTCGGGAGATAGAAAGTAGAAACCTCCTGCAATTTCTTTAATCAGCCTGAACATTTTGTAACATAATTAACTAAAACATATACAGGTTTTGTTATATTCTCAAGCACCCTGGCTATAACATACTTGTAGCTATATCTTAATAATACCCAGTAAAGGTACAAACAGGTTTGCAATGACCTAATATTTTTAAAAAGTGATAATTTTATAACTATCATTTCTCTGTTGGTATTGATATTGAGGTCTCTCCACCAGAGGAACAAACAGTACCTTCTGCAACATTGGGGCAGTTATACGCACCAGCGGCCCTTGCTACTTGTTTGTAAACAGTGTAGCTTGTACTCCCCCAAGCACAGCCTAGCAGCTCTTGTGTGGAGGGGTGAGCTTAGCCATGGTCACCCCATCACCTCATCTGGACATGACCCACAGGACATTGAGCAATGCTGCTAGCACTAGCAGTAGCTCCCTTGTGGGAAGAGAGCACAAGGCAGCAGTATAAGGGCTGCTTTCTATGCAGGTGTCAACAATAGACGATCAGTGCTCTGTCTATCTGAAGTACCCATATAACTCCCCTCAGGATGGAATCTAGTGCCTTATAGTCTTTAATGTATATATTTAGTCTCACAATACCTCTGTGAACTAGGGAAATGCAAATGGGGAACTGAGACATAGAGAGACTAAGTGACTTGCCAAAGGCCGAAGTTCCTAGTAGAGTAGGGGATTGAAGCCATGTCTCCCCTGTCCTAGCTTAGTGTCCTAACCACTAGAGACCATCCTTCCCCTCATCCAGCCAACTCCCCCTTCCTTGCACCCCATTCCCTAATGCACCTGATCTGAAGCTGCCATAATTTGGTCCAGAGTATTTTGGTGTGGAACAGATAATTAAATGGTGAAAATGCAGTGAGCTATACGGCACTGACAGGAAAGAGGGGAGTTTAAAATATTAAAAACACTGCTCCCAATAGGATTTGAACTCTGTATTGTACCTTTAAAGCATAAGGCAGACCCTATGTTACACAGGCATTAGTTCACAGCCATGGGAATTTAGAAGTGTTATGATTGGCCAGAAGAGGTAGCCTGCATTAATTTAATACAGTCAAAATATATCTCAGGTCAGATTTTGCATTCTTTACTCAGGGAAAGCTAATGATTCTGGGAAGAAGAGACACAAAAGTGAGTGTCAGATTCAGAGCATTCTCTTCTCTACTTTCTGACCCAACAGAAGGCCCTCCCTGGTGGGGTCTGCAGATGAAAGGAATGGCTCCTATCAAAGGCATCATTCCCCAACTCCATAGGGAGTCTCAGATTAAATTTATGTATAGGAATGTATGAATTCCATGCCAGTTCAAACAAGGAGTCTGTTTACCCCATATCCTATCTTTGCCTGTGGCCAGTACCAGATGCTTCAGAGGAAGGAGTAAGAAACCCATAGTGGATAATTATGGAATAACGTGCCCATTGGGGAAGTTTCTTTCTCATCCCCCATTCACTTAGTGGCTGGCTTGTGCTATGAGGGTTTATATCCCTTCTGAAAAACATAAGGGTTTATGTGCCTTCAAAGAGGTTTTTTTATTTTTTTTTGTAGATTATCTAATTGCAGTTGTTCTCACGTATGGAATACCGATTTTTAAAAACCCTACTAAATTCTTTCCATCAGTGCCATCTTGTGGCAATGAATTCCACAGATTAATTATGACAGGTTTAAGAGTAGCAGCCGTGTTAGTCTGTATTCTCAAAAAGAAAAGGAGTACTTGTGGCACCTTAGAGTCTATCAAATTTATTTGAGCATAAGCTTTCGTGAGCTACAACTCACTTCATCGGATGCATTCAGTGGAAAATACAGTGGGGAGATTTATATACATAGAGAACATGAAACAATGGGTGTTACCATACACACTGTAACCAGAGTGCTCACTTAAGGTGAGCTATTACCAGCAGGAGAGCGGGGGGGGGAGGGGAACTTTTGTAGTGATAATCAAGGTGGGCTAGTTGGGGGTGGAGGGGGGAATAAACATGGGGAAATAGTTTTACTTTGTGTAATGACCCATCCACTCCCAGTCTCTATTCAAGCCTAAATTAATTGTATCCAGTTTGCAAATTAATTCCAATTCAGCAGTCTCTCATTGGAGTCTGTTTTGGAAGTTTTTTTGTTGTAATATTTCCACTTTTAGGTCTGTAATCGAGTGAACAAAGAGATTGAAGTGTTCTCCAACTGGTTTTTGAATATTATAATTCTTGATGTCTGATTTGTGTCCATTTATTCTTTTACATAGAGACTCTCCAGTTTGACCAATGTACATGGCAGAAGGGCATTGCTGGCACATGATGGCATATATCACATTGGTAGATGGCAGGTGAACAAGCCTCTGATAGTGTGGCTGATGTGATTAGGCCCTATGATGGTGTCCCCTGAATAGATATGTGGACACAGTTGGCAACGGGCTTTGTTGCAAGGATAGGTTCCTGGGTTAGTGGTTCTGTTGTGTGGTTGCTGGTGAGTATTTGCTTCAGTTTGGGGGGATGTCTGTAAGCAATGACTGGCCTGTCTCCCAAGATCTGTGAGAGTGATGGGTCGTCCTCCAGGATAGGTTGTAGATCCTTGATGATGCGTTAGAGAGGTTTTAGTTGGGGCCTGAAGGTGATGGCTAGTGGCGTTCTGTTATTTTCTTTGTTGGGCCTGTCCTGTAGTAGGTGACTTCTGGGTACTCTTCTGGCGCTGTCAATCAGGGGACACCATCATAGGGCCTAATCACATCAGCCACACTATCAGAGGCTCATTCACCTGTACATCTACCAATGTGATATATGCCATCATGTGCCAGGCTGAGTTTGATGCTGTACTGCAGGAGCATCTAAGAAGAGTCACCACCCAAGAAATGTACACACACCACTACCTTGGAAAAACAATTCAAAATGAGATCATACAGTTACTGGCAACAAAAGTCAAACAGAAGATTGTGGCAGATCTGAAGTCAGCAAGATATAACTCTGTTATTCTGGGATTGGTCCTGCTTTGAGAAGGGGGTTGGACTAGATGACCTCCTGAGGTCCCTTCCAATCCTGATATTCTATGATTTTATGCACAACTGACATCAGCCATATGGAACAAATGACTTTAATGGTGCGTTTTGTAACAACAACAGAACCTAGTGAAAATGTCCCTGCAATGGTGACTGTCAGAAAGCATTTTCTAGAATTTATTGACATTGATGATAGTACAGGACTGGTATGACAAATGTGCTTCTTAAAAAGCTGGAAGATACAGGAATTGCGATAGCTGACATGAGAGGTCAGGGCTATAATAATGGTGCCAACATGAGAGGAAAGAACAGAGGCGTGCAGACACAGATCCGAGAGTTAAACCCTCAAGCTTTTTTTGTCCCATGCAGTTCTCATTCATTGAACTTTGTGGTCAGTGATGCAGCATCAGCTTCTAGTGAGGCTGCTGAATTTTTTAATGTAATTTTAAGCATCTATGTATTTTTCTCTGCATCAACTCATCGATGGCAAATTTTGAAGCAACATCTGGGAACATCCTCTCTGACACTGAACCCACTGAGTGCCACACGATGGGAAAGTCGAATGGAGGCGATAAAGCCTATCAAACACCAAATTGGGAAGATAGATGATGCCATAGTTGCCATTATGGAGACAGGAACTGTTTGTGGGAGAACAGTGGCAGAGGGAAATGGAATCACCAGAAACATACATAACTTCAAATTTCTGTGTGGCTTAGTGTTGTGGCATGACATACTGTTTGAAATAAATGTTGTAAACAAGAAACTTCAATGTGTTGACCTTGATATATCTGGAGCAATGGAACAGCTGGACAAAGCAAAGTCATACTTACAGTCTTATCGGTCAGATGACGGATTTCAAAACATTCTGAAGAGTGCACAGAAGTTGGCAGAGGAACTTCACACTGAAGCTATTTTCCCACCCATTCAAGAATACAAGAGTCACCAAAGAAGAAGACATTTTGATTACGAGGCATGGGATAATCCCATAAGAGACCCCAAACAACAATTCAAAGTTCAATTCTTTAACTGGGTGCTAGACTGTACAATACAGTCAGGAGAGCTGGCTGTATTTTAAAGAAGCCTTGTTGAGGATTCAGGAACAAACCATCCCAATGTGCAGAAAGAACAGCAAATATGATAGGCGACCAGCTTGGCTTAACAGAGAAATCTTCAGTGAGCTTAAACACAAAAAGGAAGCTTACAAGAAGTGGAAACTTGGACAGACGACTAGGGAGGAATATAAAAATATTGCTCAAGCATGCAGGGGTGTAATCAGGAAGGCCAAAACACAACTGGAGTTGCAGCTAGCAAGGGATGTGAAAGGTAGCAAGAAGGGTTTCTATATGTATGCTAGTAATAAGAAGGTCAGGAAAAGTGTGGGACCCTTCCTGAATGGGGAAGGCAACCTAGTGACAGATGATGTGGAAAAAGCTGAAGTACTCAAAGCTTTTTTTTGCCTCCGTCTTCACAGACAAGGTCAGCTCCCAGACTGTTGCACTGGGCAGCCCAGTATGGGGAGGAGGTGAGCAGTGAAAGAACAGGTTAAGGACTATTTAGAAAAGTTGGACATGCACAAGCCCATGGGTCCGGATCTAATGCATCAGAGGGTGCTGAGGGAGTTGGCTGATGTGATTACAGAGCCATTGGCCATAATCTTTGAAAACTCGTGGTGATCAGGGGAGGTCCTGGACCACAGGAAAAAGCCAAATGTAGTGCCCATCTTTAAACAAGGGAAGAAGGAGAATCCAGGGAACTACAGACTGGTCAGCCTCACCTCAGTCCCTGAAAAAATCATGGAGCAGGTCCTTAAGGAAGTCATTTTGAAGCACTTGGAGGAGAGGAAGGTGATCAGGAACAGACAACATGGATTCACCAAGGGCAAGTCATGCCTGATTAACCTGATTGCCTTCTATGATGAGATAACTGGCTCTTTGGATATGGGGAAAGCGGTGGATGTGATATATCTTGACTTTAGCAAAGCTTTTGATATGGGTTCCCACAGTATTCTTGCCAGTAAGTTAAAAAAGTATGGATTGGATGAATGGACTATAAGGTGGATAGAAAGCTGGCTAATCATTAGGCTCAACTGGTAGTGATCAATGGCTCGATGTCTAGTTGGCAGCTGCTGACAAGTGGAGTGCCCCAGGGGTTGGTTCTGGGGCCAGTTTTGTTGAACATTTACATTATTGATCTGGATAATGGGATGGATTGCACCCTCAGCAAGTTTGCGAATGACACTAAGATTGGGAAAGAGGTAGATATGCTGGAGAGTAGGGAAAGGCTCCAGAGTGACCTAGACAAATTGGAGGATTGGTCTAAAAGAAATCTGAGGAGGTTCAACAAGGGCAAGTGCAGAGTCCTGCACTTAGGACAGAAGAATCCCATGCACTGCTACAGGCTGGGGACTGACTGACTAAGCAGCAGTTCTGCAGGAAAGGACCTGGGGATTACAGTGGACGGGAAGCTGGATATGAGTCAACAGCACGCCCTTATTGCCAAGAAGACTAATGGCATATTGGGCTGCATTAGTAGGAGCACTGCCCGCAGATCAAGGGAAGTGATTATTCCCCTCTATTTGGCACTGGTGAGGCCACATCTGGAGTATTGCATCGAGTTTGGCTCCCACTAGAGAAAGGATGTGGACAAACTGGAGAGCCCAGTGGAAGGCAACGAAAATGATTAGGGGGCTGGGGCACATGACTTACAAGGAGAGGCTGAGGGAACTGGGCTGATTTACTTTGAAGAAGAGAAGAGTGACGGGGGATTTGATAGCAGCCTTCAACTATCTGAAGAGGGGTTCCAAAGAGGATGGAGCTAGGCTGTTCTCAGTGGTGACAGATGACAGAACAAGAAGCAATGGTCTCAAGTTGCAGTGCGGGAGGTCTAGGTTGGATATTAGGAAAAACTATTTCATGAGGAGGGTGGTGAAGCACTGGAATGGGTTACCTAGGGAGGTGGTGGAATCTCCATCCTTACAGGTTTTTAAGGCCCAGCTTGACAAAGCCCTGGCTGGGATGATTTAGTTGGGATTGGTGCTGCTTTGAGCAGGGCATTGGACTAGATGACCTCCTGAGGTCTCTTCCAACCCTAATATTCTATGATTCTATGAAATGGCATAGAAATAGGTAAAATTATGAATAATAATCTCATTGTGATTCTGGGCAGGACAGTCAGATTTCAGTGAAATTAAATTCAAAATGAGCAACCAAATTGAAAACAGTGAGTAAATTCATAGACAATTTGTCTTTTATTAGATCACATTCATGTACAAATTTCACTATGGGCATTTCTGCCATGAGAAGTCTCCATTATTACTTTGTCTAAAGACTGAGGCCATGTCTACACACAGATTTAACGTAAAGTGTGATTTTCAACCTACAGAGTTATACTGGTGAAAAAGGCTGTGTAGCCACTCCTATTTCAGTTTAACGAGGCTTAGTTTAGCCAAGGGCTTGGTCTACACTGAAAAGTTACAGCGGCATTGCTACATCAGTCAGGGGTGTGAAAAAACATGCACCGTTGATGCACATGATTATGTTGAGAAAACCCTCAGTATAGATGCAGTTATGTCGATGGAAGAATGCAACATAGTTAACATCATTCAGGGAGGTGGTATTGGCGTTCCTACACCGAAAGGAAAAACTCCTGTTGGTATAGGCTGTGTCTACACTAGGGCCCTTTGCCGACATAGCTAGGTTGTATAGTCTCTGTAGCATAGACATACACTCGATTAAGTTAATCAGGAACAGGTTTCAGAAAGAAGTCAAATTAAAGTGAAATAAGAGTGTCCACACAGCTTTTTGCACTGGTTTAATTATCTCACCTTAAAAAAATCACACCTTACGTTAACCTAGTACAATTTTATCATGTAGTCAAGATCTTAGTAGAACCCTTAAAACCTAAAGGCCTCATTCTCCACTCTCTTAACTCCAGTTTTGTACTCACGTCACTCCACTATTCCCATTTAAATAAGAGAAGTAACAGTTTCTTGAATTGTTTTTTCTGTTCCACCTGGACTTTTTCTTCTTAAAAGATTTAACAAAGTTCTGCCAAGTTTTTCCTCCTATTCTCAGTGGTGAAACTTAGATCAGAAGGAAAAAAACAGATAGAGGGTTGTGTTGCTTTGTGTCTTTTCGCTAGTTGCTTTAGGGATTATGGGTGAAATCCCAGCTCCTTTAAAGTCAATGGCAAAATTCCCATTTACTTCAATGGAGCTAAGATTTATCCTTACATCTTGCTCTGAAATACCAGAAAGGGTTGTAATTATATTGCTCCCTGGTTTACTATTAGGTACTTCCATTCTCTATAGTAACTACAGTTAACGTTTTACATAGATGGTATCCTTTATCTGCTTCCAGGAGTTTTTTTCACAAGGTTTCATTCCAGCCAATATCCTGCATATGTATTTGTTTATCCTAAACTTCAAGATGCCCCTCAAATATGATGATGGGATTAGCCAGCTTTTTAGAAAATGTTCCCATTTTACTTTCCCTGCACGTATTGTGTTCCCTTGTGAGCTCCAAGAGAGATTATAAATCTCCTAAAAACCCTTGTACAATGTTTACTTTTGAATACATCATTTCAAATTTAATTTCAAACAATGGGTTCTTCCATTTTGGAGGTAGAGACTCCAGTACAGATCTCATGGAAAAGTGAGCTGAAGTGAAGATA